ATAAGGATTTTTAAAATCTTTCTGATGAATCCTAGCGCTCTAGGAGACCAAGGAGTGGATTGCTTGAGCTCACGAGTTCGAGACCAGCCTGAGCATAGTGAGACCCTGTCTCTACTAAACATGGAAAAACTGAGGCAAGAGGATTTCTTGAGCCAGAGTTGGAGGTTGCTGTGAGCTACAATGCCACAGCACTCTACTCAGGGTGACAGCTTGAGACTCTGTCTCAAAAACAAAACAAAACAAAACAAAACTTTCTGATGATTTCAATGCTGCCACAGTTGAGAACCTGATCTGAAATTCACATTGAGTATTCTCATTTGCAAAACAGAAAAAAATCTTTGCTCCCTCCTTTCAGTACCTCACAAGGGTATTGAGGGTAAAGGAGAAAATGATGGAAAAATGCTTGTGCTATGGGTGAAAGAGCTATTAAAAGGCAAAGAAGTATGACCAGGGGGGAAAAACACATGTTCTTTGGAGATTGGGCTCCATATCTCCTAAAGGTCCATATCTCTTAAATTTGTCAATCAAAGGGGCTACATCTATTAAAGCTTGTTGTTCAAGGGGGTACTGATCTGATCTTTTGTGGTGGCTGAACTTCTGATTTTTAAATAGACCTTCACTGGAGTGTTCCTAATGCCCTTCCCATAAATTCCCTCTTCCCAGATACAGACGTTTACTTGGATGTTGATTTCTTCTAGACGTTTGTCCTCATCATTCACATGCTGGAAAAACAGCTACCAGACGTGTTCAGGAGGAACCTTCATCAGAAGGCTGTGGTTGTCTGGAGAAAGGTAATCTGGGAATTTAATTTAGACAGTAAGTCTCTCCCCTGCAAGGGAACGGGGCAATCAGGCATGTCAAGGAACTGAGGAGGCACCTCTTTTTCTCCAATCCAGGAAGTAAGAGGTTGAAGAAAGAGCTTTTGTCTCCTCCTTCAGAACCAGAGTGTTTAGTCAGAGGGGAGAGTGGAGTAGTAAGCACTAAATATGTTTTTACAGCATTTACTAAAAAGTCTTTTTTTTTGAGACAGAGCCTCAAGCTGTGGCCCTGGGTAGAGGGCTATGGCATCACAGCTCACAGCAACCTCAAATTCCTGAGCTTAAGCTATTCTCTTGCTTTAGCCTCCCAAGTAGCTGGGACTACAAGCGCCAGCCACAACACCCAGCTGTTTTTTGGTTGTAGTTGTCATTGTTGTTTGGCAGGCCCCGGGCTGTATTTGAACCCCCAGCTTTGGTGTATGTGCCTGGTGCCTTAGACACTTGAGCTATAGGCGCCAAGCCAACTAGAAGGTCTTGGCCCACAGCTTTCTATGAGGAGAGACTTCCCCCTGGACAGGGCCAAATTTTTGCTGGTCATAAAGGAATCAGTGTCACGGACAAGTATTTCACTCTGTGGCCCTGGTAGAGTGCTGTGGCATCATGATAGCTCACAGCACCTCAAACTTTTATGTGCAAGCAATCATCTTGCCTCAGTTGTTCCATTTTTGTTAAGAATGGCTAGTCTTGAACACTTGAGCTCAAGCAATCCACCAACCTTGGTCTCTCAGAACTCTAAAATTAAAGGCATGGACAAATATTTCATGTGAGCAATTCTGTGCCCATCTCAGTTGGCCAGAGTTCTCTGGGCCCTGCATTTTCCCACCCAGAATTACAAGGCCAGATTCCAGTGGTGGGAGGCCTCCCTTATCAAGTGTGCTACCCCTTCTTACTCCCAGTTCCTGGGTTTCATATTTCCCTGTGACTGGGTACCACTTTGTAGCCTTTGTCTCACCAAGTCATTCTGCCCAGATGACCTCCCTGTGTCTGCTGATTTTTGCCAGTGATCCCAGTGAAAGAGCTGATCATTCATTCAGCCTCAGAGGAGTCTGGGATCTCTTCTTCAATTTTTTTTTTTTTTAAAGAGACAGAGTCTCACTTTATTGCTCTCAGTAAAGTATTGTGGCATCACAGCTCACAGCAACCTCCAGGTCTTGGGCTTAGGCAATTCTTTTACCTCAGCCTCACAAGTACATGGAACTAGAGGCACTGGCCACAACAGCTGGCTATTTTGTTTTTGTTGCAATTTGGCCAGGGCCGGGTTCGAACCTTCCACCTTCGGTATATGGGGCTGGCACCCTACTCACTGAGCCACAGGCACCGCCCCCTTCCTCAATTTTGTAAGGAAGTCTGTGAAGAGGTTGAACACAGCCTGTTCACCTCCTGTTGAGTGGAGGCTAATCAGATCTCACTTAAAGACAAGAGCAGATCCAGACCAAAAGGCTTTAAAAAGAGCACCAGCGATGCAGTAGGTGAAAAATCAAGTACAAACCCCTCATTGGACTGAGAAAGTCAAAATCAAACAGGTCAGCAAGGAGGGCATGAAGTTCCCAGATTGTCTCACACCCAGAAATGGTCCAGTCTTTCCAGAGTCCACACTGAGAAGAGAGAAACAATGCTGTTGTTTAAGTGGCTC